TCAAGTCTAACTTGCTGAATATGGAAGCTCCTAGCAATTCGTCCAGTAGCTCTTCGATTGTAGGGATGGGAAAACAATCTTTAATGGTGACAGAATTTAATGCCCTGTAATCTATACACATCCGCCATGTTGCATCATGCTTCTTGACCAATAGCACCGGTGAAGAAAAAGGGCTATGGCTGTGTTGAATAAAACCAGCAGAAAGAAGGTCATATATCTGTTTCTCAATTTCACTCTTGTGATGATGAGGATACCGATATGGCTTAACACTAATGGGTTGTGATCCTGCCATCAAGTGAATACCATGATCCATTCCTCTAAAAGGAGGCAATGAACTAGGAGTATTAAAGACAACAGCATATCTCCAAAGGATTTGCCATAACAGGTGCGGTGTGTGTCCCTTAAGTGCAGTTAAGTCAGCAAGTACTGCATCATTAACAGCTCCCTCATCACACGCATCAAATGTGCAACATACTCCTTCGGGTAACACCCTCTTTTGCTGCGCATTGACTGATGTTAATCCCCATAATTTGACTTGCTGACCTGCCCACAAGAACTCCATGGAAAGCTCACCATAGTCATGTGTTACTCGACCCAGGGTGCTAAGCCACTGCATGCCCAATATGACATTGACCTTGTTTAAGTCAATGACCCAAGTCAGCATGAAAAACACACCCCTGTATGACCAATGGAACATTGGGACATCTCTTTTCACAGACCATGAACTCACCATTGCCCATAAAAACACGCATTTTGTTAGAACGAATGGTAGGTAAATGAAGGTCCTCTACTAACTGTCTTCTAATGAAGTTATGAGAACTTCCAGAGTCAATCAACACTTCTACATCAAGGTTAGCAATTTTAGCAGATAATTGCAATGATCTAGGATTCACATTACCTGATAGCGTGTGAAGAGTTGCATCATTCGGAGTGGTACCCTTCATTTCCTTCTGCCAGAAAATTTCCTCCTCTGATTCTGAACCAGAATCATCCGAATTGCATATCAGAAGCAACATTTTGGCCTTACACCGATGCTTAGCCGACCACTTCTCATCACAGGTATAACAGATACCCAAATCGCGTTTTTTTGCAAATCTTCAGGGGATAATTTCTTGATAGGAAGAGAAGTAGCATTGGATGTCGATGGTAACGCTGGCAGGGAAACTGGATTCGATGAGAGCCCAGGTGTGTGAGACGGATTCTGTTTATGTGAATTTTGCTGCCAACTGTTCGATGAAAGACGAGTTGGAAAATGTTTCTGAGTCGTGGATTGAAATGATGTTCGAAGTTCTGAAAAGTGTGAATCATAGGAAATGGCTAATTGAATAGCCTGATGAAGATTAGGAGGCCAGTGTAACTGAATTGCACCTCGTAATTCCGGTAGTAAACCAGAGATAAAAAATGCCATTAGAAGATCATCACTTAGCTCCGATGTTTGATTGATTAACTATTCAAACTCTTTGATATAACCCGCCAAAGAACCTGTTTGTGTGAGTTTAGAAAGAACTCCACGAATGTCACGATGATTTGGAAGAGCAAAACGCTGACGAAGAGCAACGCAAAAATCTCCCCAAGCCACTGATGTACCACTCTTGAAGAGCCACTGGTACCAAGGAGCGGCAGCACCATCCATCTTCAAACCCACCAATTGGACTTTCAAGGTTTCTGGCACTTGCTGTAACCGGAAATACAATTCTGTTTTAAAAATCCAAGTATTTGGATCTTGACCATTGAAGATCGGAATCTCCATCTTCACCGTTCTGCACAACGAACGAGTATCAACATTCTCCAAATTCGTGTGTGACTGAACAATAGGGACCTGGACAGGGGGAGAAACTGGAAACGTCATCTCACGAAGACGAACATCAATTGCAGTGATGGTATCAGTGAGAACATCCAAGCGCTGTTGTACAACAGTGCGATGGGAGACAAACTCTTCTGCAAGCTCTTGGAGTTTCATGATTTCTTGAATGTCAAAAATCAATGGAAGCACCAGTTGATACGCAAGGTATCAAGAGTCAGAGCAAAATAACAAGAATGAGGAATGGGTTGTTTTTTATTCCGATGAACCAAGTAATGACATCAATTCAGTTTTTATACCTAATATATTACAGACAGCTGTCAAGCTTTTAACCGTCTAACCAATCAATTACAATGTATCATCTATTTATGTAATTACATCAAGTGCTCAAAAGTTACACGCTACAGTAATCTTTTGTCCATGCTGGCTCACGTCTTTGCCTCCTTACTCTTGAAGTCGTAACATTCTCTCTTGAGGTTTCTCTCACAATATCCTAGCTAACCTATTACAAAGGTTTTCATGGGTTTATATAAGGTGAGGGAAACTATCCACCTTCTTCTAGAATCTTCAATGATTATCTAGGCAACATTTATTGAATTAGTTGGGCTAACATTGAGCCATGCATCCATAAATGAGGTGCATGCTCAACTACCAGTATTAAAGGCAGGAACACACCCTAAAAACTATTTGCTTCCACTTGTATATTTATTTGTTCGAACAATGTATAATTGTCTTGTTTCTTAAGAACTCAAAATCTATCTCATCATGTAGTGGTTTCATGTTGATAGCTACACATGTTTTGTGTAATAGAGTATCAACACTTTCCCCTATATGAAATTTGAGATTAATGTTTATGATATTATGGAAGATAAATTTATCTTCTATAAACACAAAAAAGTATGTGGGGTCTATGTGGGACCATGTGAAGAGAAGAAAAAGAAAAAGAAAACATGAATCTTACACATTTTTATGTGTGTGTCGCAGATAAAATTATCTTCTACAACATGAGAAAAATTAAATCCTTTTTTGTTGTTTGATGGGAAAAAATGCCAGGGGCTTATTAAACCTTTCAGCTGGAGTGAACTTGTTCCTGTAGAATTACCAGCACCAACTTGATTCACGATGCAATGCCTTCAAATAAGAATGCTATATTTGTTTGAGCTTTGGATTCTTAAATTCAAATACAACATAGCTTTGGATTCACCATTCAATTACCACGCACCAGCTTTGGATTCATGATTCATTTACTCTTATTTTAAGGAATGAGAACCCCTGTTTCAGGAATTCAGTATAGATTTCTTTAACATAAAGTACATTTGGGAATGAGACTTGAGATTAAAATCAAGTTAGACAAATTAATACTATGGGAAGTTTCGATTCCTAAACCAAGTTTTGAAGCTAAATTTTTGAAGACAAAGCTTATGGGAAGTTTGAAGCGACATCGACTTGAAAAAGGAAAAACACACACTTTATAAATGAGGTCAATAAAACTTAAACGTGACATTTTGATAATTTTTTTAAAAAACTTCCACATTTTAATATTATTTTACCCAATGTGTGTCATTTTAACTTTTATCCCCTAGGAAGGTGCTCGTAGGGAAGGTGGATTGACTTTAAACATGCAACCTACCCAGTTTATAGCGGGATAGAATTTTAGCCCGTCTCGTGTGAGGTGTGACGGATTTGTTTCCTCAAAATGAGATTGTCAAAGATAGAGGTTCGTAACTTTTTTGTTTTTGGTAGATAGAGGTTCGTAACTTATTGGAAGTATGACTATTGACTACGACCCAATTAAGTTGACATTTAAGGATTTATCTTATTTCCAAAAACTGTAATAATACTTTATTACCTTTAAAGAGTAAAAAAAATAAGTCAAAGATTAAATAGAGAAAAAGTGTTAAATTTAATTATCATGTGAAAAAAAAATTAGTTACAAATCTCACAAATTAATTTTGTTTTCTACCCCAATTAATTTTTCGTACTCTTCTTGTTAGGGATAGAATTAAAGAAAACAAATTTCAATGCGATCTTTGAAAACAAAAAAAAATGCGTATAAGTATTTGATGGATATACTGACAGCATACATTTCTCTTTGATTTTAAACATCAGTTACGAAAAGAACATCTCCAAAATAAGGAAGAAGCAATAAAGTAAAAAAGTGGAATGATTTCATGATACAACAAAATGAGTTCTTGATACAAAATGTCACCAATTTAGTGAGGGCAACATACATACGTTCCGTGTATTCACATATATAATCAGGGTTTACATTTGTCATTTAATATGACACAACAAACTTTCCTACACACACAATATTTTGTGGAGCCTACACTTTTTGAAGAAAAAAGAAAAAAAAAGAAATTATGGCACGCAAAACGAATCTCTATAACATTACAGAATCAATTTTTCTATAACATAACTCTTATAAAACTCATATACTTATACACACATAATTTTACATATTATACACTATAATTATTTAATTTAATTGATTTCGCATCTTTTTTTTTTTTTTTTAACAAACTTAACCTTAGATTTTATCACATAATATAAAGTGATGTGTTTGATGGGAACAAGCATCTATCATTTTAACTTTTCAAAAAAAAAAAAAAAACATCTATCATTTTCCATATGTAAAACATGATTAATTTACAAAAAAAAAAAAAAACATGATTAATTTAAGATATTATGTCAAACATCATGCACAGGTACAACCGGCCACCATTGAACAAACGATTATTAATTTATCAAGAACCTTCCTGTAAAACAACATCTAAACAAACAAATAGAATACGGGTAATATTAAAATATTAAAGAAAGCCAAAGTATGAAGAAATCAGTGGTAGTCAATAGTTTGGAATGGAATTAAAAGAAAACCTATCAAATCCAAACCATCAAATTTTGTTCTGAAAGCTCAAACCCATCCAACAAAACCATCAAAACAATATTTTAAAAAACAAAAGAGATTTTGCTTTACTTGTGTGCTATAAAAGAATTCAATATAGGTGTTTAGTTAGCACGTAGCTTTCAAGGTCATTGGATGAGTTTGCGTTGAAAATTTCCTGGCTTAGCGTGAAGAGCTGGACTCTGATCCAAAAACTATTACTCAACATCATCATCATCCCTCTCTAACCCTTTTTATACCCAATATATTGCTCATTCTTCTCTCACATTCAATCCAATCCAGACACACCAAACCCCAAAAAAACCTTTCACTTTCTCTGTTTTTCTCTCAAACTGATACATCAAAATGGAGGGTCTTATTCCTTTTGTTTACAAGGCTATAGTGCAGTTCAAGAATGGCAAAGAAGGTCCTATAGGATCATGGATTTGTGAGTCACCTTCATACTCATATATGAGACTTCCTGGTGATTCGGGTCGGTTTCAAAACCCTGCTTCATTCTCTGCATCTTCACCATCTTCCAACCCTGCTTCTTCTGCTGCTACCCAGATCATTGTTTCTTCTGGTGTTCAATCTCCACATCAGTGCTTGACACATCGTCGAGTTGCAGCATGAACATGAACATGAACATCTTGGTACTTGCCTGAAGGAAGCTGAAGGTGCAGACCAACCAGTTTTAGTAAATGAAAAGTGATCAATCACTGTCATATAGAGGGACTTGATTCAAGTTTGTGCATTCAAATATTGGGAAGCTCGGTTCTTAGTTTGGACTTTGAAGTTGTGAGCGTGTGGAAAACCAAAAGGGTCATACGCTTGGTTAGTGGTGGTGTTGTGTAAATTGTAAATATGGGTTTCTGATTTTATGGTTAAAGGGTCACTTGAAATATGAGTTTGTAGGCAAATTAATAAGCAAAATGTATGTATTTCTTGGTCTAAGGGGTCACGGAAACCGTGAGTTGTAGAATAAAGCCGTGAGTTGTAGAATAAAGCAATCAATCTGCAATTGTTTGTTTTTAATTTTATATTCTGACTTCTGATTTCATTTCTTCTTTCTTCTGATATTTTATACACATTCAAAGTTTGGGACTGTGAGAATTATTGTTAAAAAGAGCTTGCAATAAGCAAGTTTTCTGATTTTGTGTTCTTAGCCAAAATGGAAATATCGAGTTATAAGCAGAATTGAACTATTCGAAGAGAAGCGAGTTGGTAAAACCTTTGATCATCATCATCCAACAAGATATTCCTTAAAATTGTGTTTTAACTAAAAAAATTAAATACCTTTTTTGATCCTTACCAAAAAAACACAGGGTCCAAATTAATCCCCGAGAAAAGAAAAGAAAAAAGTTAATTTGTGATAGCTCTGAAATTTTTATTCTTTAAAATTGTGATCCCTTTAAAATTCAGATAAAATCTACGTTAATTCCTCAGAAAGGATTAATATAGATCTTTTTTCTAAAGAATTAAAATGGGTTCTGTAATTTTTTGTTTACGAAAAAAAATATTTACTCTCAAACATATTAAGTTTGGTAGACGGCGGCGGCTAAAGGGGAAGTTTCTTCAACAAATGCAAAACAAACTATTTGTTTCGACAACCTAATCCAAAATTTGCAAATTGAAAATTTTCATAATTTGTTCTTAAATCTTTTTTTTTTTAATAGGGTAGAAACCATATGCTACATGCGAGGCTCTCCAATCATCTCATTTTGACCATAGTCCATTTGTAAAGAGATCCATACGAAAGCATTGCTAGACCTCTTGCTTAGCCATATTCTCTAGTTTCTTTTCGGTCATGGATTTAGTGGATTCTTTACACTGATTGGGTTTGGGGTTTGGGTAGCTCCCGTTAAGCCTCTCTTTAAGCTCACGTTGGACTTGTTTCCTATTCTCATGCCTCTGTTTCTTAATGGCCAATCCAATAAGTGCATCAGATTCAGTACAAACTCCTAGGCATGAGCCGAATAATCCCAAAATTCGTATTACATCCAATGTAATACCACCGGTCATTGACCTAGCCAGGGTATTGAAACGCTGATTCAACCAGTGGATCATCGCTTGAATTACATAACTCGGATTAGTACATAAAAACCTATATTATATACATAAAAATACTCAAATACATGTAAAAAATTATTATGCAGAGCTACAAACATATATAATTTTTGTAGGGATAAAAAAAGTCATATATGATGATAACCACATATAGTATATTGTAAAAGAAATAAACAAAGAAAAAAAATTTAAGTATCAGGTAACCACGTGTAATTTCTCTACCAAATATCCCCAACTAACCATGTTTAATAATTATAAGGCATTTACCAATAACTCTTCCCATAAAAATGGATTTGCAAGAAATCAATATGTCTCATTCTCCTAATATACTGTTTCGCAAATTGCTCCGTCTTTGAAGCTAAAATTTGATGTCATTGTATGAGAATATACTACTAGAAGAAAAAAAAACTGCAAATTTTTTTGAAACGAGTTTCATAGTTTTTTAAGAACTTGAAATAAAAGGGTATTTGAAATATTATTGAATCGTATTTGAATCTGTACAGTCTCTATTTACAGAGACTTCTTGACCTAATTTTGACCTAATGGGCTTGGCCCAATATACAAGTAACAGACTAAATAAATACAAATAAATGACGACATAATTACTAATAAATGACTACATAATTACTATTTACAACATAAGACAAGACGAGACAACTTTGCTTTTTGATTTTATTTTATTTATTATAAAAATGCATGACCCTCTGGTTTTGATGACCAACCTGGTCACCGATTTTGAAAAAACTCAGTCGGTTCGAACCGATTTTTGTTGAGTCTAATAGATGGCTGGTCTGATACTTGACTTGAACCGATCAAATGATTGATTCATTGGGTTCCGGGTCGACCCGATCGCTTCAAGTCGGGTTTGATAACACTGATTACACTCTCGTGTTATATTAACTAGAGTCGCACAATCCCTAACTCGATGTTTTATTAGTGGCAAGTTAAGGTGTAAGTTCAACACTTTTAATTCTCTCTACAATGTGGCGAAATGCTGAAAATTAAAGTATATATAAAATAAAAAATATTTAATATTGTAAATTTATTTATAGTATAAGTTAATATTATTAAATTCGGCTCGGACCAATTGGGTTAATCCACAAACCGGTGAACCGACGATATAACTAGTCCAAGTGAGTCAACGGATCGACCATGTAATATTCTTGGAGAAAACTAATTCGACCTGATCAATTTTTGGTAAAAATTGATGTCCCAGCTGATTTTATTTAAATCGTTCAACCAATACGTCATGTGATTTTTTTAAAACAAAAACAAAAGCAAAATAGTAAAATATTGTGTTTTTACTCCACTACCCGCAATTCAAATCCTTAAATTGCAACATATATATATATATATATATATTTATCCAAATCACCCAACCAAATTAATGGTCAGGTTGAATTTAACATCGTTAGTACGAATAAATCTTTGGTACTACTGTTGTACCAAAGATTCAGTGCATTCCACCAATAAAAATATTACATGTCAGTTAATTTTATTTTTTTCTGTCAAATTTTTTCTCTCTCATCTGATGTGTAATGCTCTCATTGATGAGATACACTGAATCTAGGTACAACAGTAACAAAGATTTATTCTGTTAGTACAAGTACATAAGAAAATAAAGTAAGTACGAGGCTGATTAGGAGTCGCTTCTTGTATAATCAATGTTATAACCTATATGATAAATGGTATCAATTGATAGTATTTCCATTGATTTAAAACTGTACATCAATGTATCTTAAATAGAATAGGCTGTTACGGCTGTTACCAAACAGTCTGTTACCAAATAGTAAAACAACTTCCTAAAGATAAGTAACTACACCTAATTACAAAAGGACTCAGTTATACATATCCTAACAAACTACAGGTTACAACATATCACAGCAAATCATAACAACATATAGAATCTTCTATTCCAACACTCCCCCTCAAGTTGGAGCATGAAGACATGAAATGCCTAACTTGGAAAGAACGGCAAGAAATGGAACACGACCAAGTGCTTTGGTGAAAATGTCTGCGAGTTGCAAATGAGAACGAACAAAAGTAGTTCGAATCGTCTTAGAAACCAACCTTTCCCGGACAAAATGGCAATCAATTTCAATGTGTTTAGTTCGCTCATGGAACACAGGATTTGCCGCGATATGTATAGCGGCTTGATTATCACAACATAATTCCATAGGATCATCATGGATAACATCAAGTGAAGCAAGAAAAGACTTCAACCATATCAATTCTGCTGTCGCGGCAGCCATGGAGCGGTACTCAGCCTCTGCTGAGGAGCGTGAGACAGTGAGTTGCTTCTTTGTTTTCCAAGAAACAGGTGAGGTTCCAAGCATAATGAAGAACCCAGAAACTGACCGGCGAGTTAAAGGGCAGCTGGCCCAATCTGAATCACAGAAAGCATGAATTTTGAGATCACTTTTGGAAGAAAGGAGGATACCTTGGCCAGGATTCATTTTGATGTATCTTAGTACCCGAATGGCAGCCTCATAATGTGCTTCCTTTGGAGCTTGCATGAACTGTGAAAGAGTGTGCACTACATAACTCAAATCAGGACGAGTGATCGTAAGGTACACTAGCTTGCCGACAATTCTTCTATAGCGACCTGAATCATCATAGTCAGGTCCATCTGCCAGAGCTAAGCGATGATTCTGTTCAATTGGAAACTGAACCGGTTTACAATCCAACAAACCTGTTTCTTTGAGGATATCTAATGCATATTTTCGTTGGCACAAGAAGATACCCTCATTGCTACGGGCAACCTCGATGCCCAAAAAATATTTCAAGTGACCCAAATCTTTAATTTTAAAACACTTGTTAAGATAAATCTTAACCTCTTGACATGCTTGGGAATCATTGCCTGCCAACACCAAATCATCAACATAGACTAGTATGGTCAAGAAGGTAGAACCACGCTTCAAAGTGAACAAAGTGTGATCTGCTTCGGATTGAACAAAACCGTATTTAATAAGTGAGGAACTCAACTTTGCAAACCAATTCCTGGGAGATTGTCGTAAGCCATATAACGACCTTTGCAAACGACACACTTTTCTTCCTTGTCCTTGATTAAAGCCTGCCGGTATGCGCATATACACTTCTTCGTCCAGTTCTCCATTAAGAAACGCATTATGAACATCCATTTGGTGCAAGTACCAACCTTTTGCAGCTGCAACCGAGAGTAGAGTTCTAACACTCACCATTTTCGCTACAGGAGCGTAAGTTTCATGGAAATCTTCTCCTGGAACTTGATGATTACCTGCAATTACCAACCTTGCTTTGTAGCGCTCGATGCTACCATTGGAATGATATTTAATTTTATATACCCATTTACATGGAAGGGCATGTTTTCCTGCAGGTAAATCAGTGATAGTCCACGTATTATTTTATTCTAGTGCATGTATCTCCTGAGCCATAGCTTTACGCCAAACATCATTGGTCATTGCTTCTTTAAATGACCGAGGTTCACTACCTGCATCAATAGCAGCAACAAAAACTCGATGTTTTGAAGAAAAATTGTTAGTATTCACATAGTTGGCAATTGGATACCGTATACCTGAGGTGGAGCTAGAAGAGGTGAGACTGGGAGTGTATGTATGTGCCTCAATCAGATTACATTTGTAGTTACTCAAATAGGACGGAGGCCTTCGTGTGCGTGCTGGACGAAGAGAATCGTTTTGAGCTGATTCTGCACTTCTTTGCACAAGTTCGTGAGCTGAATCTTCATTCCTTTGTACGAGAGCAGGAGCTGGATCCTCACTCCTTTGCACTTGATCAGCATTTGATGTAGAATCTTCATTCGGCTCCCTTTCAGACTGATGGACACTCCCCCTATCTTCCAACTGCACTTCTGCCTCACAATCATTTGAAGTTGATTGAGATACTGGATTGGCAGAATCATTAGAATCTATTGGTATAAATGTAGGTAATGATGGGCTAGGTGTAGGCACACTTATAGCAACAAAAGGAAACTCATCTTCGTGGAAACTGACATCTCGTGACACAAAGAATTCCTTAGTATTAAGATCATACACTCTCCAACCTTTCTGCCCATAAGGATAACCAACAAACATACACCGCCTAGACCGTGGACTAAATTTGTTTGTAGGTTTTGGTTGTGTCACCGCATAACATAGGCAGCCAAATATCCTTAAGTGACTGTAATCAGCAACAGATCCATGCAAAAGCTCATAAGGAGTTTTGCCATTGAGAAGCTTTGTGGGAGTTCTATTAATAATATGAGCTGCTGTCATCACACTCTCTCCCCAGAATTTGATTGGCAAGTTTGATTGAAACAAAAGAGCACGAGACACATTTAGAATATGCCTATGCTTCCGTTCTACTCGACCGTTCTGTTGCGGCGTATGAACACAGGATTTCTGATGGAATATACCATTGGCAGTGAATAATTCAATCATCTTGTTGGAAGTAAATTCAGTTCCATTATCTGATCTAATACTCTTAACTGTTGTATTAAACTGATTTTGCACCATTAAAAGAAATTTTCGTAACACACCAAAAGTTTCACTTTTGTCACCTATCAAACAAACCCAAACAGCACGACTGAAGTCATCGACTATCGTTAAAAAATAATAAGCACCAGAGAAAGAGGAAGTGCGGTAAGGACCCCATGTATCACAATGAAGAAGATCAAAAAATTTATTACTCTTTCGATCACTAATGGGAAACGAGGATCGATTTTGTTTGGCACGATAACAAATATCGCATGCCTTATTGTTTACATTGCCAAATTGAATGCTACTAGAAAAAGGAATCAGAGAAAGTGCTTCGGATGATGCATGGCCCAACCGCTTGTGCCAAAGTTCTTGCGTATCACTGGAGCGAACTGTTAAAGCTGCTGCTTGGCTTGGTCGAAACACATACACACCATCCCTGTGATCACCCAATCCAATCTCCGTCCTCAGCTTGCGGTCCTGCAAAACACAACTATTATTAGTGAATACCACATCAACATTATGTTGTCGTACCAACTGAGATACAGATATCAAGTTACACTTTAAATTTGGCACAAATAAGACATTGGATAATGAAAAAGAAGGAGTAAACGAAACAGATCCTTGTTGCACAGCATAAGTAATAGCTCCATTGGGTAAACCGATTGCCAAAGGTTCAACATCTGTAACATTCTCCAGCAATTTCAATACCCCTGTCATGTGGCGTGATGCACCACTATCTATAAGCCAGTGACAATGGGAATCTTTACGATTTAATTTGTCCTTTGAGCGTTGCGGGTTGTCAACCAATGATAACAATTGTGTCACCACGTCAGGTGTCAGAACGGCGAATGCATTTGCTTGCTCTAGTGGTTCCTCCGTTTGAGCTGCGTGTGCACCAAATGGCTTTGCATGGAATCCTCCTTGTGGGTTACTTCCAATTCTCGTAGTTGGCTTCTCCTCTCAGCATAACGGTTGTTAAAAGAATCCCTGGGCTATCTGATCCAGTCAGATAGAATGGTGATCCAGGGTCTGATGGCTTCAACCTGCTGCTGTTTTCATTGGCCATCTTCAACAGAAGCTATCTCCTGCTCACTGTTTTCAGAGTCTACACGTTGCGGAAGTTTTTTTTTTTTTTTAACAAGGGATCGCTCTGATACCATGATAAATGGTATCAATTGATAATAAAATAGGCTGTTACGGCTGTTACCAAACAGTCTGTTACCAAATAGTAAAACAACTTCCTAAAGATAAGTAACTACACCTAATTACAAAAGGACTCAGTTATACATATCCTAACAAACTACAGGTTACAACATATCACAGCAAATCATAACAACATATAGAATCTTCTATTCCAACACTATAAAACCATTTCTCATTATTATCAATTTGTTGGGAGAAGTGAATGCAATGAGACAATTGGAAATTGAACCCCAAAGCCCGCCGCTTTTGAACAAGACGATTGTGTTCCATGGAATTTGGAATATGGAGAATCGTGATTTATGACTTTCATAACGACAATTATAAGTTTTTCTAAGTCATTTTGCCTTACAATTTGATAGAATGCTTGTTCGTGCAGCCACCGGAGCGACTATCCATTAGCATAAGAACAGGTGTGAAGGGGCAATAATTAATATTGAATTGGTTGGATTCTGTGAGAAGCACACGTAGAAGTTTGCGCCGAGGAGACAAATGGGTCATGCGATGTTAAATCGTCAAAGAATGCTGTGCCAAACTTTGGATCATGTAAATTCCAAATTATAAGGACACACACTGCGTCAAGTTATCGTCTGATTGACGAATGTAATAAAAACAAAAAAACAAAAAACAAAAAAATTACATTATAGGGACCCAAAAATATATTTATTTTTTGTCTTTCAGAATTAATGTGCAGAAAAAGATGTGAATTTAATTGCTTGTGACTATTATTGTGAAAAACTATGTATAAAAACATAAAAACTTACGTTTTTACAATTTTTACTAAAGTGATTCGTGTTAAAACTTAAATAAAAACGGTTCTTGGTAAAAGCTTATAGAAATGCCGCGTAAAAACGGTAAAAACTTACATTTTTATCGTTTTGACCGTTTTTACTTAAAAGTAAAAGTTTAATAAAAAAAAAGATTTATAAAAAAAAACATAATTTTCATTTTCCACAAATCATATTCACACAGTATCTTAATATATTTTTGTTTGGATATATGTTTTTTATAATTATGTCTTATAAAGCTGCAATTTTATTATAAGTTATGCTATAAGAATCGTTTTGTGTTTTTGGATCATTGTATGTATTGAAAGAAGTGAAATTATTTCCTAATGAGCGATGATCCAAAATCTGCAGAGTGTATAAAGCAGTTAGAGCAAATTGGTTATCCATTACTTGTTAATTATCACTGTTTATAATTTTGATACTTGATTATGAAAAATAATTTTTCTTTTTAGATAGATAAGTAGCTCAACACACATGTTCATTATGTGATTTTTTTTTACTTGCATATATATAATTTTATATCTTGACCTTAAGTGGTAGAAAGTAGAAACTTTATGTTTCGTGTCGTTTCTACGTTTTACGTTTCTACCACCCCTTTTCGTTTCTACGTAGAAACTTGAGTTTGACAACATTGCTTGTGACTAAAAAATATGAATGGATAAGAGATAACTCATTCCCTTAATTGAAATAGAATATTCTATCTTTTTTTTTATGGCTATTTTACCTACTTATGTCCAATGCCGTTAGATCAAAACTTTAATTAATTTTTACTCTTTCTTTCTCCTCTTGAAATTCTAATCTAATGATATTGGAGATACATAAATAGAGTAAGAATAAAAAAGATAAATATAATATCTTATCTTGTTATGTTGACGTCAACTTACATCATTTTAAGTGAGGTCAAGGTCATGTAGGAAATAAATAGGTGTAATATACATTTTTTTTCTATAAAAAAGACTAAGTTTAATTTCTCCAAATTAAATGTCCTTCACAAAAACGGGCCCAGAATTTTTTATAATAGGCGGCAAAAATAAAATTTTAAAATTATAAGAGTAAATATCATTTTTGGTCCTCATCAAATTTTATGATGTCCACTTTAGTTCCTAGCAAATAAAAAGGCTATTTGTGGTCTCTAAGAAATTCGAAATGAACCCATTTAGTTGAAATCGTGGTCACTCACAAATTCAAAAAAGACCCACATTAGTCCCTCAAAAGGACTAAAATGGATCCATTTTGAATTTCTTAGGGATCACGAATAGCCTTTTTATTTGCTAGGGACTAAAGCGGGCATAGAAAAATTTGCTGAGGACCGAAAATAATATTTACTCAAATTATAAATATTATTAAGACCAATAAGAGATACTAACTATTATAAATATTTTTGAGAAAAGGACTAACTATTAGTATTAACACCTATTATTATTAAAAAATATTATCTTATATATAAAAAAAATTAAAATTTAGGGAGTGGTGGCCATCAATGCTATCCCTTCCTAGGTCCGGCCCTGATCCTTTATGCTTGACTTTGGTTTGCTAGCAGTTCATCATGCATGTCACGATTGAAAGTGTAGCTTCATCATCAACTACAATTGACTTGTATACCCAAAAACATACATAAATTACAATGTAGCCATCTCATAAACTGTTGTTTCTAAGTCTTTTCAGAAAAAATATCTATAAACATAGCACTATCATTGTACACCATATCATAGCCACGTTAGCAAAAACAATATCGATGAGCTTTGTGAGTATAACATTAACATTGTCAATCCATGCATGCTTAGAAAGAAACATGCATATCTTCCTTAAAAAAGCGAGATATTCTTCAATTTGATAAAACCTAAATCAGCTACATGCAATGTTTCACAGATCATACACTAACACGTTCAGAGTCCATTAATGTAGTGCCATTTACAGCATATTCTAGTTCTCTACATCTTAAGAATTACCATATCTGTATCTTTCCATCAAAATAAACAAATTTTTGGAAAAGCGCAGCAAATTTCACATTCTCCTATATGTGTATAGTTGGCTGCGTGGCACACATTATTTTTTTTTTCTTTTTCTATATCATTTTTCCTTCTAAATTCAAGTGAGAAATAAAAAAAATTAAAATCTCTAACAACACTATATATATATAGCAGCAATTACTTTCTTTTTAGTATATGATGCCATATTACAACACTGGTTGCTCTTTGATGGAACAACATAAGATTACAACGTTAATATTCACAATTGCAGCATTGTTGCTATTATGCACCGTGACGGCGCGGCAGTGTGGGAACTGCGGCCCGAACCCGGTCCCATACCCGTTGAGCACAGGACCCGACTGTGGAGACCCGTTTTACAAGATCCGGTGCACCGCAGGGACACTGTGGTTGGATGCACTCGCCGGATCATCGTACACAATCAGGTCCATTGACCCGATAACCCGTCGGATCATTATCCGACCCGCAACCCTTGCAGGAAGCGCGTGCGTCTCCACGGACTTCCGCAGCGAAGGCATCCACCTGAACGTGACCCTTCCTTTCAGCTTGGCTGCGAAAAACACCGTCTTGGTGTTCAACTGCACAGCCGCAGCGCCTCACGCGCCAACGATGGACTGCTCGGTGAGCAGCCTGTGCCACAGCTACATCAAGGACCTGCCGTATGCAGGCGGCGCTTGCGGGCGCGTGAGCATGTGCTGCGCGTACAGGACTTGTGGGACTCTCAAGGAGTATGTGGTTAGGGTGCACGCGGGAGGATGCGCGGCGTATCAGAGTTTTGTGGATCTGGACGGTGCGGCGGCGACGGCGGGAAAGAAGTGGCCGGAGCCTGGGGTTGGGATCGAGTGGGTGGCACCACAGGAACCTGTTTGTAAAGGGCCAATAGATTGCAATGTATTTTTGAATTCTAAGTGTGGAGTGGGCCCTCTTGGTGGGGTACAAAGGTGCTTTTGCAATGCTGGATTTAAGTGGGACCCTATCAATGGATTGTGTCAATCCCAAACACAAAGTAAGTCCACAGGTAAAGTTGTTAGTTTTATTAATGGAAAAAATGCTTGTATTTTTAATGATATCATTTATATCATTTTATTTTTATAAAAAGATGAGATTCATATTTTTATTTTTGTTTTGTTTATTTTTTTTTTCATAATCTATCTTTATATTTTATTTAATATGACATAATTTTGTATTTTTTTAAATAACACATATTTTTTCCATTATTAATATAACATTTTTGCTTCCAAAGCTAAAGTTAATACTTGGTATATTTGTTGGTTAAAATTGTACGAGGAAAGTTATATTGAAAATTTTTATTTTTATAAACTTACAAATTATATTATATATTTCAAGTAAGACTTCACTCAAGAATATGTTAACGATAACATATAATATAGTTAATAAGAATTTGTAAATAAAAAATTTATAAATATAACCTTTCTCAAATTATATATATGATATAAATGTTCACATAATGTTGTGATTGAGTCTATGTTTTGGTTCAGTTTAATTTCAAAACAATATATTATCCTTACGATTTTTTCAAAAAATTATAAGTAAGCTAATCTAAACCCATAACTATTTTTTTATGTCAAAAGTGTATACACATATAATTATTAAAAATTGTATATTCACATTATTTGTGACAAAAAAGAACATCCGTGTTAAGTTGCTATTATAAATTTTTAAGAAATATTTTTAATTAAAGAAATCACTTGCAAAAATTTTGATATTTCGTTTTATTAAAAGAATTACATTAATATTTTAGTTTAATAAAATAAAGTTTATCTTAGAAAACAAAAATTAATTTTTTAAATCTGAACATTATAAAAATATTATTTTTTTCCTTTCATTATTTTAATTTTCATTATGATTTTCATCGTGCATTTTAAATTTTTTCGTTACTTTAGCAGTATATTAAATATCAACACTAAACATTAGGATTTTTTTTTCTTTCATCGTGTTTCAAATTTTAGTTTGCTTTGAACAATTTTTCCTGAAAAAAAATATAGATTAATCGGAACCCTTTATTGTTGTTTAATTTTTATTTTTTAATATGCAGATACAAAGTGCACAGGACATGGTAAAGGCAGCCCCTGCAAAGTTCGTAAAAAAAAGAAAATGCTTCTGACTGGTATCTGCTAACAAATAATTACTCACGTTTACTATAGCTGTTATGTTTTTTTTTTTTTTTAGAAATATAAAAGCATTAATAAAACTTTTACTTAATTAATCTAAATTTTTGAGTTAAAATAATTCTTTACATGATTTTAAAGTTTCTATGATCAAAATATCTCCACCTAATTGACCCCTATATTAGAAAATAGTGTTAGGAAAATATAAAATTAATAAAGCTTTCACCTAAGAGCTTACCCTTTTCACTTTGTTCGCTTGTGAGAGACAAGCCAAATGCAATATAATTTACTTGTAAATGACCATTGTGTTTGTGCTCTTTTTTATTCTTAAACTATGCTGTTTTCAGCGGTGGCTATTTCCTTAGGAGGAATAGTCTCTATAGCAACAGTAATTGGAGTCATTCTCTACAAGAAGCATAGTCAAGTGAAGAGAAAAGCAAAGAAGACCATAATGAAAAGGAAGAAGGAAATCTCAAGTGTTAAAGCTAATGCTTTATCATCGAGGATCTTCACGGGCAGAGAGATAAAGAAAGCAACAAACAATTTCTCCCAAGAAAATCTCATTGGCTCTGGTGGTTTTGGTGAAGTGTTCAAGGGAACTTTTGATGATGGAACCATCACTGCCATCAAGCGTGCCAAGCTTGGAAACACAAAAGGCATTGATCAAATACAAAATGAGGTTCGAATACTCTGCCAAGTTAACCATAGAAGCCTAGTGAGACTTCTTGGTTGTTGCTTGGAACTTGAACACCCTTTACTAATATATGAGTATGTTTCTAATGGCACACTTTTTGATTACATACATCGCCACCACCCTTTTGGAACAAGGGCACCTCTCAAATGGCATCAAAGACTCAAAATTGCACACCAAACAGCTGAAGGACTTTCATATCTTCATTCTTCTGCTGTGCCACCCATTTACCACCGTGATGTGAAATCAAGTAATATACTTCTTGATGATAAGTTTGATGCCAAAGTTTCAGACTTTGGCTTATCTAGGCTTGTTGAATTAGCTGAAGAAAATAAGAGCCATATCTTCACTAGTGCTCGGGGAACACTTGGTTATCTTGACCCTGAATACTATCGTAACTTTCAACTCACAGATAAGAGTGATGTTTATAGCTTTGGAGTGGTGTTGATGGAGCTTCTAACTGCTCAGAAAGCTATTGATTTCAATAGGGAAGAAGAGAATGTGAACTTGGCTGTGTATGCTAAGAAGAAATTGATTGATGATAAGTTGATGGATGTTGTTGATCCGTTGCTTAAAGAGGGAGCTAGCAATTTGGAATTGGAAACTATGAAATCATTGGGTTATCTTGCAGCTACATGTATGGATGAGCAGAGACATCAACGGCCTTCAATGAAAGAAGTTTCTGATGAGATTGAATACCTGATTAAAATTGTTAAAGGTCAGGTTTCGAAACAATAAATGTGCCTATCTGGCAAAGTCACCCCCGAGTTACCTAGCAAAAATGTACCTTACCAAAAAAAAAAAAAAAATTGCTTTGAAATTTGCATAGTTCTTTATGATAACTGACAGAGTTCAGATATACAAGTAATAGAAACAAGGATTTGGATCTTTTTTGTGAATGTTATTTCACAATCACTTATTGATAATGATATAAGAGAGAGAAAAATATCATATAGTCATGTTATTTGATCACAATCACTCATTGATGATCACATAAGTGAGAGAAAAGTATATAATATTAAAATGAGTGATTATAATCAAATAACATGACCATATGACCATTTTTTCATATAAGAGAATCTAAATCCTAGAAACAATTATTTTATCCCCAAAAGAAAAAGGTATCAAATAGTTAAAAGGGTGTGAGGTAACATTGCTATTGGTGCTAACTAAAATATACATGGGAAACCCCCAAGGGTAGCTGAATTAGCAAATGAGCTCTCAAGGGTTTGCTTGGGTTAAGAGTTCAAATCCTGTCTCGAGCAAATTCTTGAAAAATCTTTGAAGGCCAGAAGACGTGTCTCTATCCTCAAATGAAGGATTAATCTTATTTTACCTCCGGTAGCGAAGTTCCATGCACCTGGTTCCAATGAGGGGTAGCCTTCAGGTCGTACTCCGTGGACAAGGTGACCGAAGGAGGTTGAATGGGGATACATCCAAATTATACCAGAGAATACATATATATATATATATATATATGTGTGTGTGTGGGAAAAGTATTTCTACAGCCACTTTAGATAAGGTTATCTACAGCTATCCATTTTTAACTAAGTATGACCGGTCATACTTAGTTATAACAATAAAGCTTTTCTTTTTTTCTTTTTTCCTCAAGCACTGTCGGCTGACGTGGCGGAGAGAGAAAATGCAATTTTGATGTATGACCAATCATACTTAGTCAAAAAGAGGTAGTTGTAGACAATCTTATCTAAAGTGGCTATAGAAATACTTTTCCCATATATATTAAATAAGCTCTTCGTATCTCATCGACTTCATTAGTTGAATATTCCCAAATTGGCTTATGCTCACGTTTAAACATTTATTTTTGACTATAATAATTTCATCAGCATGCTCAATTTTACGACACTTGGAAGAAGGTTGCTCATGAGAAGGTGCATCACTTTCAGAAATTATGTTTGCAGGAGCGTCACTGGTAGCACCATCAGAGGCTACTTTCTTTTTAAAGAATACATGATATGCCTCCAGCATATATATGATTTTAAGCCAAAAAGAGAAAGAATCTTGATCAATCTTGAATAAAATGGGCTATAATTATTATTAAATTGATAAATCCCAATCAGATACCTTCTCACTAAATTTCTGTGATTTTTGTAGTAAAAAGTACTACAAAAGAACGAGTTTCAAGCACTAGAGAAAGCTAAAGATAGTGTTCCCGCGCTGCTCCGCGCTAGTAGCGCGGGAGAATTCCTACATACACAGTGTTACCGCGCTACAAGCGCGGAATCTGCGTTAGTAGCGCGGATTCAGATACCTTTGTTAATTGTGCTGCGCTAGTAGCGCGGCGGGAAGCACGTGGCAGTTTTTAATCAGGATTCAAAGTTTATCTGGAGGAGATTCTAAACAACAATATGATCAAGATTTTGGACCAAGGAAACTAAGTCTATAAAAAGAAGACATAGAACCCTTAGACAGACATCTTTGGCTGGAGAGAATTGTGAGGATCAGAGAATTGAGAGAATTCTTGGAGACTCGCGCTGGAAATCACGATTCCACCGAAGTTGAAGACTGGAGAACATTGATCTTCCCTCTTCTTCTTCCTTTCTTTTTCTTTCATGAACAATTTTTCTTATTTTAATTTGTTTAAGTCATACATGAATATGTCTGGCTAATTTCTTTTTGTAGTTGGGATCATGGACCCAATACGAATTCTTTATATTTCCTGTATTATTTTAATAAGTTAATTAGTTAGTTTGTTTTATTCTGCTTGTGTTAATTTTTCCATATCCTTATTAGAACTTATCACTCTAATTATAGGACTTTGAGGGTTAGGGCTCACAATAGACATATTGGAGTTTTAATCTGGACAAAGGTAGAATAACAATTTGTGCATGACCTAGACATAGGCTTACATAGATTGCAGACTTTTAATTCATTTGCTTAATGCTTGATTCAAGCGAAATTACTAGGACACTAGGATTCTAATTGGGTTAAAGGATTGAAATCACTAAGACATTAGGGTTCAACTAATTTATAGGAAAATAATGAATTGTTTGAGCAAACAAATTAGTTAATTATCAAATACAATATAGGAATATAAAAGAGGATCAGGGGTGAAGTGCATCCTGGCTACAGTCTTTTTACAATTCTTCATAACTCATATTTTTCGTGACGTTCTTGATCTTTTCTTGCATGCGTTTTAATATTATTGTTTTTAAAATTCTGTTTTTAAATTACAACAATCAATCACTTTAACACTCAAACCAATTTTATTTTTCAACTTAAGAGAAATAGTTAAATTAATACTTGGTGCATTAATCCTCGAGGGAACGATCTTTACTTATCACTTTTATTACTTGAAACGAACGGTATACTTGCCGATTTCGCAACAAGTTTTTGGCGTTGTTGCCGGGGATTAATTACGCCAATATTAGTTTTAACTTTCGATCTTTGAGATTGAAATTTTTTTTTTTATTTTGTTACTAACTTGATTTCTCTATTTTATGCGAGGTAAAGCTAATAGTGAACCTTTACAGTTTGATCCAGAAATTGAGAAGACTGCAAAGAAGAACCGGAAGCTAACCAAGTTAAGGAAGCAAGAGGAATCCTCGAGTTCAGAGCCAAAAGCAGAACCCGAGATGGCAGCTCCCAATCCACCAGCGGAGGAAGAATTGATGGAGTCAATCCTAGCTCCTTTTTTCACTAGGCCAATTTCTAGCATCGTCAGACCACCAATCAACGCTAACAATTTTGATATCCAACCAACACTGATATCCTTGGTGGAAAAAAATCCATTTGGTGGGGAAGATTATGAAGACCCCATGATTTCATTGATAGATTTATAAGAATCTGTGATACAACCAAGCATCACAGGGTGTCAGATGATGCAATTAGACTCCGGTTGTTCCCTTTTGCTATAATAGGGAAAACTCTTAGATGGTTGGATAGACAAGCTCCCAACAGCATCAGAACGTGGAATGATCTGGCAGCCAAATTCTTCGTAGAGCACTTCTTCAGGGAGAAATACAACAAGTTGGTGAATGAAATCACCAACTTCACTCATCAGCAAGGAGAGACACTGTGCGTAGCTTGAACCAGATTCCAAGAACTGATCAGAAAGTGCCCCCAGTACGATTTTCCAGACAGAAAGAAGGTCAGAGTCTTTTAGAATGGAATGACACCAGACTTCAGAATGGTGGTCAATAGTGTAGCTGGTGGAACCATAGGGAAGAAAACAGCAGCTCAAACCTTAGAGCTGATTGACTTCATGGCAAGGAACAAGAACGCATCAATAGCGGTTCAACCAGTTCAACAAGTTCAACCAAAGAGGGGACTTCTGCAATTGGGAAATGATGATGCATCGTTAGCTGAGCAAAAGATCATATCTCAACAGCTCGCCAGTTTGGATACTAAATTGGATAAGATGCAACTTTCTACAGCTCAAGTTAATTCAGTTAACTGTGAGTATTGCAAAGGAGAGCATGAGACCAACGAATGTCCAACACTTGTAGGAGCTGATGCATTCCAAGTTAATGGAGTCTGGTATGATCCAAGACCACAACAGAACTTCCAGAGAAACCAGAACAATACTCCAGGGAACAACTTCCAAAGGAGAATTTAAGGAGGAGGTTTGGATTACAAATCCAACCAATATTTACAACCTCCTCCAATTCCACAGACTCAACCATCTGAATTAGAAAGAGTTGTACTGCAGTTGACAAAGACCACTAATGAATTCATGCAAGAGACTAGATCTGCTTTCAAGAATCACGAAGCGTCTATAAGGAATCTAGAAACTCAAATTGGGCAATTGTCAAGACAATTAGCTGAGAGAAATCCAGGAACATTCCCCAGTGACACCATAATTAACCCAAGGGAGCACTGCAATGCCATCACTACTAAAAGCAAGGATCTAGAAAAAGTGAAAGCTCCTACAAGCAAGAATGAGCACACACAAGAAGACAAGGAAGAAGCAAAGGAGCAACCTCCTGTAGTTTAAAAGAAGCAATGGGATTTTTCACGTTTTGAGAAACCTCTATATCCCATGAGGAGCAAGCAACATAAGCAAATGAAGCAATTGTTTAAATTTTTAGATATTTTTAAGAAATTTCAAATTAACATTCCTTTTGCAGAAGCTCTGGAGAAAATGTCTTCGTATGCCAAGTTCCTGAAGGAGACATTATCTAAGAAGCAGAAGCTCACAGAGTACGAACCTGTTACGCTAACAGAGAAGTACAATGCAATCCTATAGAAGAACTTGCCTCCAAAGTTAAAGGATCCAGGGAGGTTCAGTATTCCATGCACCATCGGCAAGACGACCATAGAGAAAGTCTTATGCGATCTTGGTGCCAGCATAAATGTGATGCCCTTCAACCTGATGAAGAAGCTGGGAATTGATGAAGTCAAGCCAACGAGGATGAATGTTCAACTGAATAATCGCTCAACAAAGCAAGCACATGGTATTGTGGAAGATGTGCTCGTCAAGGTAAACAAATTTCTAATTCCTGTTGATTTTGTTATTCTTGACATTGATGAAGATGCCAGTGTGCCTATGATCTTCGGGAGGCCATTCCTAGCAACTTCAGGAGCGCTAATCGATGTACCTAAGGGTGAGTTAATAATGCGCGTGGATGGAGAGCAAGCAACATTCAAGGTACTTACAAGTGAAGCTCCAATACTTGCATCTCAACCTAAAGATCAAGTTAACTATATTGCGGAGAAAAAGGTTGAGGAAAGAAACAAGAAGGAATTCCATCAGCAGCATGAAGAAAGCAAGCCAAAGG